GGGGGAAAAGTAGAGTTAAATAAATAACACGCACACAATTAAATAGTTGAACAAGAGAAATTTAAACACTGGGATCGTGCTCAGTTTGCGTTTACACACACACACACGCTAGCTTCTACCTAAAGATTAATTAGTATTTTATTAGTTAAATGGCCGTTGATAGATAGCATTTAACTAATAAAACACTCATTAATCTTATTTTAAAAAGTGAATAATTTGATTATATGTCGATATTCATCGATTAATTTTCAAATAATTGAATAGGGCGACACTTTGTAATCTGGTGTAGAAACTCCGACTTGATTTCACTTACAGATGAATAAATAAGGAATATGAATGATTGAAGAGCTCGAGGAGAGTTGCCAACAACAAAAATAGGGCCACGTTCATTTCTGTTACTAAGTTTCTGACCTGGAAGTGCAGACGTCAACGTAGAAGTCACACTCCTTTGTAGCCAGTGAGTGTCGCGCATTTTAAAGTATAGCGAGACAGTGTTGCATCCAATACAGATTATATCTAGAAAGTGATATTAAGAAACGTAAAAGGGACTTATATAATTATTTAATATTACAACATTAAACAATTGTTTTCTTTGAATAGCTGGAAAGATAAACAGCGCGACCCGACGCGTACCTGTATAATCATTATATAATAATTTATTTATTTAAAACGTTTATTTATTAAAAACACGATTTTTAGAAACATATGCGATTGTTTTAACAGAAAATAAAGAAAAATTATAAATTATTATATTATTTACGATTTAATTTGAAAGATATTGTGTGACGCGACGCGTACGAGTTGCCTTCATCTCATCGTCGCGTCGCGTCGCATCGACAACAATAACAAACAAGAAAACAGTAAAATAATACAAAATTTTACTTTAATTACGCTTAAAAAATGATTAAATTTATCAAAAATTAGCAAGAGAATTGATAATTTTATGTTAGAAATTATCAGAACTTGGCCCCGCAAAACACACTAAAATTAGCAGCGAGGATATTTAAAACCATTTTAATGATTTTCTAGTTAATTGAAGATAATTATCTACACCTGTTCAATGAGAATTTAAGAAATTTAAATTTATTCTGCGGCAGTATTAGTAATTAAAATAAAGTAAGGTCAAGATCTGTAATCTGGAATTAAGATTGTTAGATCTGAAGAATATGATCGAAACATTTCGAGTTAAAATAGATCAAATATGGCCAAAAATTGGATCAAATATAGGATTAAGATCGAATTACACAAGTCGATGTTAAGATGAATCAATATCTGGTCAAAAGATCTAGAGTTAAAATGGTTCAAATAAGGCCAAGAACTAAATGGATCAATGTGGTCAAAATTCCCTGAACTAATATGGGACAAATGAGGCCAAAATTCTCGAAATTAAGACGAATGAAGATTTATAACTGAAGTTTGTGAACAAATCTTGAATAGTTCGAAGGTCTATGAATATTCATATTCTTAATTTACTTATAAAAAAGTATACAGATAATAATTAGTGTTTAATCTTTCTCCCACAGAGAATCGTCAGTTTTTTTAGGTTTTTGGATAATTAATTCGGTTAATTATCCAAATTAACGAAGAAGAAAAAGCGATGATTACAACAGAGAAAAACTTGAACATTAAATGTATTCTTTTTTTCGTTTTAAATTAAACAATAGTAAATAAATGTTTCTAAAATTCCCAAAAGAGTAGTTAAAGCTCGATTATATGCTAATTATTTTGCAATGATTTATTCGATCATTTTTTTAAATATCGTTTGAACTTTGGAGTGAGATCGAACCACTTTAAAGTTACCTTGCCATAGGCATATTGAGAAGGACGAGTCGAGTAACCGGTTTAACGCTGTCGAAAAAGACATTTTTCGATTGAGATATGAACTCTTCACTAGAAAATCATCCGGTTTTAATGCCGAATTTCCATTTTTCAGCCGATATTTCTTTTGAAATGAGTTTCGTAAGAATTAAAATGGCTCGATTCAAATCGTAAATCTTCAATTGAGAACCATTTTAATTGGCTTCCGACATCTAAAATGGCCGAATTCGATATTCGTAATAGGGAAAACCGGGCCTAAACGTTGAATTTGGCCATTATAATTCGCTTCCGTTGCCTAAAATGGCTCAATTTAATGCATAAATGTCGAATCGAGTCAGTGAAGAGTCTCCTTACATCGCGTAACAAGATTTTCGGACTTTGCCTCTATAGAAAAATGGTGTAAATCCGCAAATATACTGAAAATATATTAATTAGCACTTAGGATACGTTTAAAGCCGCGCTACAAATTTACAAATTTTGTACAGGAAAAAATCGTAAATAAATTACGATCGGACGATGCGCGACGCGTCGCGTCGCGTCCAATCGCGTACGTTATTTTGCATAAGAATCCGGAATCGAGTTCCGTCCCGAACTTCGTATTCGTAGGAAACAATAAAGATATTATATTCAGTTACAGCATATAGATAATAGAATGTTTGTGTCGCTCTGTTCTTAGCTTTTTGATCGATCCGATCCACATTTTTCTTGCTTATTCTCTGCGATTCCGAGGAAAACATACGCTTCGTAAAAGCCGGACACCCCGCTTCTCCCCATATTAATTCCTAAACCCTTTGCCCTATCCGCACCAAATTTTTCATACTTATTCTTAAACTACGACATACTCTGCCCATATTCTACAAAAAAATGTACTTTTTATCGTTTACCACAAAATTCGTTTATTCCTCCATTATGGAGGATCAACGTGCCACTACGGTCTTACCGGATAAATCGTAGACGAGTGAACTAAATAACTGTTTATACAGCGCACGAAATAAAGAAACAGTGATATCTCAAAAAACATACTTGTAGACCTTACAGGTATATTTTGTAGAGGATAATTATAATAATAACTAGTATAAATTAAATGGATGTAAACTCGCGTCGCGCCGTAACTAATAATGGCAGCTGTACCCTTCATCGACTCTAATTCTTCTTATTTATTTAGTTTTAATTTGTATTTAAAATATGCGAATATTTTATGCTGTAATCTCTGGAATGAAAGAAAAAAAACAGAATATATAGGCTATTAATGTAGTTTAATATTTAGTTTCGGCGCGACGCGTGAAGCAACGCCAACGATAAATCAATGTCGATTTCTTTTTAAATCGAACGAGCAAAACTGAATTTGCATCCCGTTTGTGCAAAATTTTTGGGATGTTTTTGTGTATAAAATAAAAATTATATTATTTTAACTGTTTTTTTACATATTGTACATCTGTTTGACTACAACGAATTTCGTTTTTACGCACGCGACGCGACGCGACATGTCGCTTCGCGTGCGTTTTTTAAACACACTCCACTTTATTACAAAACGAAGATGGAATACCTAAATCATTTCTTATAACGAATAATATAAATAAAACACCTATTCGAGCAGGTCAGACACACTAACGTCCCGTAAATTATCATGTAGATAAAGTAGTGTCACTGCATACGTAACACGATACCCTTGTACGACATTCGCATATGCAAATACACACAAGTATTTTGCACGATTAATGAAGATTACAGGGAAGAGTTTATGCATTAAGGATGCTCAAAAATTAACTTTTATCATAATCGTCGCCATCCACTCGTAACGATTTGAATTTAATTTATGGATCCAAACGGTTCACGTGATCAAATTGTAATTAGGCGATGCCCCGCGCAAACAGATGACAAATGAGAAAAGCGTCAAAATAGCATCTTGACACGCAGCTAAATCTTTTTATAAGCTCAAAAGCTACGTGATAAGTGTTAAATATTCATGAATATTTTTTAAAATATTCATTTAAAAACCTATATAAGCGCGCATCTATAAGGAAACAACGAATAGATTTTACCATCCTGTGCCGATATATGTCTTTTTTTTTAAATATTATATATGCATTTTTGTACGATTCGAAGCTTTTGTTGGAAGGTTTAATGATTTATCGGGTTTAATATCTAAAAAAGTGCCATTAAATTGACCTTTCTGGTCGAACTAACGACTCGGTTTTGTATAATTTATGCGTGAGACGTGCCTTTTTTAAACTTAAAACCGGACTTGTACATTTTCTATACCTTTATAAAAAGAGAGAAAACGTTAAAAGTTCGTTTTCTGTGGTTGCTCTTCTTAGTTCTAAGATCAACGCCCTTGATCTACATTCCGTTCTAGTCGAGTGCAATTAACTTTCCCTCTTTCTCTTCTTCCTTATTCGTGTCTGAATGTTAATTTTACATTCTTAATTCCCTTCCCTATCTCTCCGCCAACTTATACTTTACACCGCGTGGTCATAAACTAACAAAACAAAAATCTGTTACCTTAGTAACAACCGAGTTAATAAAATTCCCTGAAGATAATTGCTGCCAATACTCTGTTATTACACCAGTAGAGTACAAGTTTATCACTTTTAATCGAGATTTCGATAGAAAAGTTTAGAATTTTACGTAATTTTCTCGTTATTCGACACTATTTTATCACTTTTTTCATGTTACCACACTTTAGAAATCTCGTGAATTTATTGTGGGTTTCGATTATATAATAGTTTTTAGCATTTATAATTTGAAATTTCGTATATTTTAATTGAAAAATGATTCTAAAAATTGTTATTTTTGGGTCAAATCTTATAAACTTTAATGGTGGATGTAGAGGTTTTAAATTTAATGGATGCGGAAGATTTCGTCTTACAGCACGGCTAAGAAAAGGGTGTAAAACTTCGTCTTGATGCTTTTTTCCAACTGAAAATAGATTTAATTCTCATAAAATATATAAAAAATATTTATTTTATAGTAATATTTTCCTCAATTTTCTTAAATATTGTGAGTTTTTGGCCATTAAGGTCGTCTTCTAATTGTATTTTCCATTTTCTCATACAAAAGTTTCTCGTGCAACATTTATCTGTTGGTTTCTCGAGAATTGATTGAAGAGCGCCTATTCACCAATCAACGCAAAGAATAGGTATAACGCTGACGTCATACAATTCCTCCCTTTCTTTATCTGTTGTATATCCATAGAGAAATGTCCCAGGTAAGTAGTGCAGAAATTTAACATTACTTTTGATAGATAATTATTATCTCTGTCTCTTATTATCTATCTAATTATTTAGATATATATATTTATAATTAAAAAGTAATTTTAAATATTTTATTACAATAATTTTTACCGATGTAAAATAATTTAATAATAATAATAAATAAAGATAAAAAGTTTGCGCCTGTAAAGTCGGCAACCTTACTATATACATGTACATTGCAGGGAAGACTGAATAAGTTAGAATGTTGTTACATTTTCCTTAATTATAAAGCTTAAATGTAAAATTTAAAAATATTCATTATTAATTTTCTTATTTTTTGTCTCTTTCGTTATTTTTCTTCGTTCACTGTTACATATTTTACAGATTACGGAAGCATTTATTAATTTTTAAAACAATTTCCCTACTGAAGTTACGTATAAAAATAATAATAAAATCAAAAAAATAATTAAATATTTATAATATAATTACCTAGAATTTTGGTAAAATAAAATTTCCGTATGAAAATCATGCATTTTCGATTAAGTTTTACAGCAAAAATTAAGATTTATCAGCTTTTTCAGCTTCAGAATTTCTTCAGAGTTTTTGAACTATTTTCTATTTTAAAAGTAATTTATATTCATAGAATTAATAAAATATTCGATTTATCGATTTTTATTTATAGATAAATCTGATATAACTGCATTATGATAAGATATTTCGTCGTTTCAACACTGATACTAACTTGCAAAGCAGGTAGTTCCTTTGGTTCAATCAATAGAATTATTATAAAATCTAATATATAATTTCTTAATTTCACTAATAATTAATTTAATGAATTTAAAATAAATTAGAAAATTCGATTTCATTTTGAATATTTTTGGATCAGTTTCAAAATTCTTTAGTTTTTACTAAACAATTCCGGGATTATTTCTGAGAATTGAAAAGTATTTATTGATGTGTTTTTATAAGCGGAACACGATAATAATATATTTATTTTTCGTTTTATGTGCAAAAAACGATGAGAAACAGAGTTAAAATGCGAATGGAGAAACGATCTAAATGCTAAATTAAGATGGATTCCACCTTCTGGTAAGTATCTTAAATATGTTTCACACTGTAAACGAAGATGAGGAATGTTAACAACATTACTTTCATTAGATTCGGATGGAGATCTTATGGTGGAACCTTGTAAAAAGAGCATCAATTGCAGGCACACGGCATTTTTAAGAGCCGAATCACTTCCGCGTGGCACAGAACTGACCTTTCATTACATAATTAAAGGTGACCACAGAAATTTTCTTCAGTTAGAAACCGATAGAGTTCTATGGAAAGCTTCGGGAGATTGGAATAATCCCCAAACTGATTGGCAAGAAGGATCCGTCTTTGTTTCCCACGACGTCGATAAGGTAAGTGGATAAATGGTGAACAAATTTAGTTATAATTTCTGTAATGTTTTATCTTTATTTTAGCTTTTCTTCTCTGGATATGTAGTCAGTAGTTCGGCTGATATTCGGTTGAAAGGTATAGGAATAGCGAACGGTAAGTTTATAATTGATTATTCTGTTAAAAACAAAAGTAAAATTTATAGATTTCTTATTAAAAAATTATTTTAGTCTCTCCTCGTTGCGAAAATTATCAGAGAGGTAAGTTTAAAATCTTATATTTTATGCAATAAAGTCGTACAGAAGACTTGCATTTTCCATTCGAAAAATCGAATTATTTCATTTTAAATATTAAATTTAAATTGGCTTAAGTTAACGAAGTTCTGGAATTGATAGCACTTTTTTTATCACGTCCATTTAAAATATAAATTTTACGTATAATTAATTAATATTAAAAGTATGCACGCAAACGAATAACGCTTCTAAAAATTGATGCTAATTACACTAAAAGTGCAAAATTTAATTGGCAACTTGCGGTTAATTAGTAGTTTATAATAATGTTGATTTAAAAATATTTATCTAATTTTTTAATTAAGTAGGGAAAATGTGCAAAAATGCAACTTTTGTTTCAATTTTGTGTATGTTTTTGTACGCGCAATGATGCGCATCTTCTATCTCTTTACGTGAATCGACTCGAATATGTATCGCTGCTATTTTAAGTTATTTCTAAAGTTGTTAGTGGTTTAAAACTAAGAGTATTTGTCGTATAGATTAAGTATCGCGTCGCGCCTCATCGAGTATCCATTTAAATTCATAACGTCTGTCGCCATACATGCTACAGATAAATCTCAAGCGATACCGCAAAAAAACGATTAAAATACTGGTATATTTTTAAATATAACAGTTATAAAATGTTAAAATTTTTACGAGATATTCTTAATTGTTTTTTTACTCCAATCAAAGCGATCAAAAATTTTCTTTATAAACATGCCAGACCTCCTCTTACAAGAAAAAACACAGTATAAATTCATTAATTACGTATCTTCGATGATAGATTATTTGATTATCATTAATAAAAACGTATTATAATTAACTTAATTCTTAATTTACTAACTTTAATATATTTATATTTGTACAGCAACGACCGCGAAAAGCATTCAGATTCCAACAGCACCTAAATCTAGTAAGACAAATTTCAACCTTTATACTTGTTTTACAGGCGCTAACGATCTAAAGATGCAAATTATTTTAAAAAATATTGTTCGTTTTTAAACAATAAAAACAATAAAATCGCTCCTTCAACCAGTTACTAACGATTCTTTAATCATTTGCAGCACGAAGCACTTCATCTTCAGCACAGGAGAATGATATCGGTTAGTATCCATTTGTAATAATTAATTCTGACACCTACCAATTTTCAAACGGTATTCTCTTGTAATTTTCTTCTTCCTGTTTAGATGTTGATGATCCACAAAAAGAAGAAGAAGAAGAAGAAGAAGAAGAAGGTAATTTTCATGTGTTTCTACTAAACATCATTTGATGATACCCAATTTTAAAAAGGCCCATTGCAACTATATTTATGATAATCGGGGTTGGATTTAGACTTCTTGCAGCTCTAAGCTATAAAATATGAGGCCTTCCTTTATCTAATAATACTTACTCTAAAAGGATGAGGCCTTAAGCTGTTTTTTCTAACTTATGGATAAATCTGGCCTTAATGGTAATTGAAAAATCCTAAAAATTATGGTTTAAAATGGAGTTTAAAGATCGGTTAATACGAAGTATTTATGCACGCTCGTCCATCAAACTTTTCGTTTTATTCATTGATATATTGATTAATTTAGTATGAGTTAATTGTTCGTTCAGCTATTTTTAAATTATATTTTCAGAAGAGAAACTGGAAATCCAAAAAATAGAAGTTGGTGAGTATATTAATGTAACTATTGTCTTGTATCAGATGGTACGAGTTGAAAGGAGGTGATTCTATGAGGAAAAGTAGTAATAAATTTTATTTTATTGTGACTTTCGTTGATTTCTAGTTGATTTCGTTGTGGGGATCTGTGTTCGAATTCGGTTATTTCAAATATTTTTATGGGTAGTTGCTCCAGATATTCGTGGTTTTATCTTATTGTTATCAAAATCAATGATACATATTTCCATATATTATTCTTTAACAGTTATGTTAATGATTTGATAGAAGTTTAAAAATTATTTCCTTGTTGTGTATTGTACACATAGGATATGTTTATTCGTAGTTGAATCTTTTCTGGAAATTTGTGTACGTACAGTTAAATCTTGTTTTACGTTATTTGTCAAACTACTTAAATCATCACAAATTGACATTTAATTATAATAAAACGTAATGTATTTTTTCCACCAATCGGGTGTAGACACGTGAAGAAAATCCGGAAAAGTCCGCGTGGTCAGCTGTTTGTCTTTTATAAGGTATACATCCGTATTTCCACTTAATAAGGTACGTGTCAAATAATTTTCATCAACTTTGCCTTAGAAATGTAAAAATTATAGCTATTTCTCAACGCCTAGTTACTTTCCACCCATACTGTAATATTGTTTTTGTGTATATGTAAAAGAAATAACAAATAAATGGAAAATTTCGCGTTTATTTTCTAGAAATTACAGAAAAAAAATTCGGAAAATATTACATTTTTAAACTCATTCCTCATTGAATTATTCTCGTTAAGCTTGTACATATATAGGGTGGCCCGAAAGTCATTTAACCATTGCGAAGACCGAATTACTGTCATATTACCATTTGTTTGTATTAACGAGTGTAACTGACTTTTGGGTCACTCTTCTGTGTAATATTAAACCTGTAATTTTAAAAATTTTTCTGTTTATATTTATAGTTCCGGAATTAATATACGGATTTATAAGAGGTTAGTTGAATAAATTTCTATGTTATTTATCGCGGCATCTGCACGAAAAATTAGATTAATTAGTTCATTAACATTAAGAGGAATTAATTAATGAAGCATCATAAATATTCCACGTAAAATGGCAACAATAAAGAAATAAAATAAAGGGGCATTTAGAAAAGAGTAAAACAAGGAGGAAAATAAACATAAGGAAAGGACATCTGCTCATACAATAAATGGGGAAGAACAAAAGAAAAGGTACAAAAGAGTCATAAATAGAGGGACATAATCGTGTCCCTCTATTTATGGAGGTTATTAAGGGGTAAAATATCGTGTAAAATAGGGCCGTCGAGGGAACTGTTGGCGAATTTTTACCATACCAGTGCGCACGTTATCCTATGGAGAAAAAGGGAGCAGCCTAAACCAATCTTTTCTGAGAAAATATTCCCCCAAAAATTCCCCCCGTAGAATAATGCCTGAAGTCAACGCTATATGTGGGGTCCCCTAATTCAAATTCGCCCGGGCCCCACGAAGCCATAAAGAAAAGCGCATAAATAAAGGGTTGTACGTAAAAATCATATAAATTAATAAAACCTAGTAAATCGAACTACACTAAGAATTAATTAATTGACTCTTCTTAATGTTAATTAATTTTAAAAAATTAAGTAGTTTTATTATTTTTAATACAAAATTATGAAAAATAAATTGATATATTGGTTTAAATTTCACTCAATTAATTTTTTTTTAAATTTTTACATCGGTTGTAATAAGTTCTTTATAATAGAAAATGTATATAAGTCGTTATACAAAGGTTTTTAAAGCCAGCTGTCGTAATACGGGGGTTTAGTGAATGATAATGTGTAGGTGATTTGTTTTGATGTGTTACGACAACTCCACACGTCATCAATTTGCCAATGGGTGACGTTTTCCTGGAGTATTTTCTATTGGAAACTAGCCCATATTTAAGTGTTAACCTGCACGTGGAAAAAACCCGAAAAACTTCACGTGGTTAAGCGCGAATCCGATCAGTGGTTTCATCCACTGGGCTATTGGTAGATGGTGCGAGCCTGTTTACATGTGTTTACAACAAAGTAAATTAAGTGAAGTAAACTATTTGATAGGACTAAATAAAATGAAAGCGGAATCGAGGATGGGTCCAGAGAGCCCGGGCTCCTTTATCATTAAATAAATTAAGAAAATAACCAAATAATTACAAGAAAAGAAGATTAAAATGCGATAAACATAATTATATACATGTATATATGCAATATCTAAGTATGCAATGTAGTGTCCACGTCTATAATGATAGAGGGATAAATATAGGTTTTTACAGTACGTTTCCTTCTAATATTGGTTCTACTTAGACTAATACATTTATAAAATTTATTTCGAGTTTATATATCAATATTTAATTATTAGCTTTGATATAAACAATTAAAACAAATTAAGAACAGTTTTAATTTAAAAAAAAAATTAAAAATTATATATTTTGATTTATAACGAAAAAAAGAAGAAAAAGAAAACAATTTTCTACAAAAGATTAAAATTTTATAAGCATTTTGAATTGTAAAAATTTTGAATTATAATCTTATTAAATATATTAAATTATTTCATAAATTTTACTTATTTTTTTACACAATTTAAATTGAATTTTATAAACGAAAATTATTTTTAAGAATAAAGAAAATTTCATTCAAGTTAATGTCGAATTTTCTTCGTTTTTTTTTTACAAAAATTCAAAAAAAAATTGTATTTTTCTTTTATTTTTGTTCCGCAAATTTATATTTATTGCCATTTATAATTTATGCATAACATAATTTTACATTAATTTAATTGGCTCATTCAAAATTATAGATATTATAAATTTGACTTAATTTTCTAGATTAAATTACAGTCGACCCCCCCTATCACACTGTTGATAA